GGGCTTGGGATTACACACACTGATTCCAGAGGCATTGGATATTCCCCCTTACTTAACACATGTCCATTACTTTGCTTTACACAGTCACACCCCTATTGCAAGTACCTATTTGGTCATTTGGGGTCTTCTCTGGGGGTCTCTGGTGGGTTTTTTGGCATCTGGTGCCCCCCCAAAGTCAGGTGTCCCCTTCTTGACCTCGGTTCTCAGCATCACTGCTTTTCCCCACAGAGACCAGCATGTTTGGTTTGATCTTCTCTGGGTCCCCAGAGCTCAGCTCACACCCTGTTTGCTTGAGTTCCAGCCCTGATCCAATTCTCCAGGACTTCTCTAAGATTCTATTGTTCCTTATTTGGCCAGAGCAGAATCTTGGGAGCAATGTTCTACTTCTCCCAAACCAAGGCTCCCCCTGCCCCATCTGCTGCCAAACAAGGCCAGACATCGACTGCCATGGCCTCGACCACTCTCCAGATACAGAAGGATAAAGATCACATTTTGCTCACAATCAGACATATTTTGTTAATGAACAGGTACAAACAGGATTCACTAATGAGCCCAGACTAACAGATCTGACTAATAAGCACACCTGTTTGCTCAGGAGCAGATACACAGGTGGAGTCCCATCACACCACATTTTTACCAACAAATAGACCCAGTTTTAGCTGATGAGCAGATACATGGAGACACAGCCCATTAGGTTGGAAGGTTCATCTAGAGCTCAGCTTTGGCTCAGGGGCTGTTGTTCAGCCTCAGCACTTCAGGGACAGCCAGACAGGGCTTTACATTACACACACAGTTTACAGATTCATTACAGAGTCTTGCTTACTTAATACATACACTTTTAGACAACACTTGGATCACATTTGGCACTAAAAAGTGATGTAAATTTTCCTCCCATGTCAACAGTGTTTGAACTGTGTTCAGAAGAGCAAAACAAGAGTGAAGCATTTTGTTTCTGCAATCAAGTGGGAACCTCTGTCTGATGACATTCCCAAAGGCATCCCAAATACAGGGAGGATTGCATTGAACAGCATTGCAGTCTCTTTCCAAACCTTCTTAGTGCAACAAGGAAAAGCCTCTGGCCACCCAGAGAAGGTATCCCCCAAGACTAGGAGATCTTTACACCCCCCTTTTCTGGGCAATTCAGTCAAATCCATCTGCCAACATTCACCTGGAACATTTCCACACTTTACATCCCCTATTCCCACTGCATTGGCAGGGGTTGGATCATTTCTCTTACACACACCACACTGCTGACTCACTGCTTCTACAATTGGGGGTAGTTTTGGACTTATAACCCACTTGTGCAAATGTTTCAAAGATTTGCTTCACTCCAAGGAATACCCTCGTGTTCCCCATCCACCAGGTCACACCAGACTGGTTCAGGGACTATTATTTGCCCACCTGGGGTAACTGCCCAGCCTCCTGGAGCAAATTTTGCTCTAAGGTTTCAATGAGCTGACAATCCTTAGCACTAGACTCATTTGTTTCTACTGGGAGAGGTATCTCTGTCAGGGTTATTAAAGACAAAACTTTACTCTCTAAAGTGCCTTTTTCTGCAGCCTCTTTGGCAGCCTTTTGGGCCAAATGATTCCCCAGTTCTGCTTTGGTCTCCCCCTCTTGGTGCACTCTGCAATGCAGGACAGCAGCCTCTGTTGGTTTCTGGAGATCTTCAAGCAAGTCCAAGGATTAACTTGTTCTCCTTGACTCAATCCCCAAGCTGGAGTGAGCACAATTGGTTCTGCTTTCTGGGCTGAGGCACTGCAGAGGAGTGCCCCCAATTCCATGACCTGCTGGGGGAGTTCCTGTGCATCCAGAGAATTGTTTTCCATGCTGGACAAAGCTGCCCCCACTGGGAAACAATTCCCAACCAGGACTTTCCCAGGGGCTGTCTCCTGAGTCAGCTCTGCCCGAATACACTTCTCCTCTAGTCTGGAAGCAATCCTGCTCTGGGCTTCCTTTGCTGGGGCTGGGGCAGTTGACAGGTTGCTTCTTTCCTTCCTGGCCCAGCCTCCCTTGTCCTTGGAGAATTCCAAAGCCCAGGGAGGCTCCTGGGGTCTGGACTACTTGCACTTTGTGTTTGGGACACCCCATATCCACCCAGTCCAAGGAAATTCCATAGTGTCTGATCCCAACATTGCTGCTCAGCATCAGTGGCTGTCAAAATATCCACACACTGGAATAAGGCTCCAAGAGGGTTTTGGCTTTTCCATTCCTCCAGTTCCTTTGCCAATTGAGTTCCAAATACTGGGGGGATATTTTTAAACCCCTGTGATGCCTTAAGACCCTTTTAGTTTTTTTTTTAATTTTTATAAGCTTTATATGTAATTATAGTAGAAGTAGATTTTAGAAGTAGCTATATTGTATTCCTCACCCTTTAGCACCCTTTAGTTTACACATTCCTCAACCCTCCTACCCCATTCATGCTCCCCATATCAATCCTAGCCCTGAATTCAGTAGAAATGTTTAGTCTCTTGTCAAGGCAAGGCCTATGCTGTTTAGAGAACACTCCTATCTTGGCCTGAACAACAGAACAGAGTCAAGAACTGGGTGACCGTGTACCCTTTGTGCTCTGAGGATGGTGATGGGGATGAAGAGAGGGTCCCGAAATGCACCCCAGACTCAATTCCCAGGGAGTGGGCCCGGGGCAGACCAGAGCAAAGGCTACGGGGTGGAAACACTTGGGATGGACAGGTAGTATTATAAAATGTCACATCTCAGGCACAGCGGGCATGCATCCTGTAACATCTGTGCCTTGGCACAAATCAAACCCTTTCCTTATCTCACACTCAATTAACTGCTCCTGAGGTTTTTCCTTAGCATCAGCTGAGCTGGCATCACCTGCAGGAGGACCACCAAAGTCAGCTGGGTTTTCCTCCCTGTCTTTGGATTTTCCCATCTGAAAGCAAAAAGCTCTTGACTTTCACAACTCAAAGGGAGACAGAAAAAGGCAGCTTTCAAATCTAATACTGTGAAACATTAAACTTTCATTTAGGGGAGTTAGCAAAGTGTAAGGATTCGCTACAACTGCTTGTATATCTTCTACTCTATTATTTATAGCTCTGAGGTCTTGGACTAACTGGGATAGCCTTCCATTTGCCTGCTTGACTGGCAAAATTGGAGCATTACATTTAGATTCACATTATTTTAACAAGCAAAATTTCATCAGTTTTTCTACAGAGAGTGAGAATCCCTCACAACTTTCCATTTTCAAAGGCTATTGCTTTGGCCTGACCAACCCCACTCCAGGTTTCACTGGAATTCTCACAGTTCTGCTCTTTTGGATCATGGAGGCACCTCTCCAGCCCATCCTACTGGAATCACTGCATCCCCAAGTGATGTTGGCAGATGGATTAGTTCTGCTTTTGGAGACTCTCATGCAAAACTAGAATCTTCCATAGAATTAGGCTCTGCAATAATAACCTATATTTTACCATTTTTCAATTGGATTGTGGCATTTAATTTTTCCAAGAGATCTCTCCCAGGCAGAGGCTTTGGTGAACTGGGGAAATACAAACACTGGGGAGCCAACCACTGTTTTCCCAATTTCAAATCCACAGCATTAAAAATGGCCCAGTTTCCCAATTCCCTGGCACACCAGACAATTGTTCCAGAATTGTGACTTGAGTTTCATTTTCCCTTATTTAAGACAGGGGAACAAGTTCCCACAGCCACAACCAATTGTACTTAGCTTGGCTGGAACCAGATGTTCTGATGGGGAAGAATCCTCTGGTGCCCCCTCAGTCGTCTGCAGTGATGCCAGGAGAGGGTTGGGAGGGTTCTGAAGTTTCAGTTGTGGACAATCCCATTTCCAGTGTCCATCTTTCTTACAGGATGCACAGGGATTGATCCCAAGTCTCCTGGGGGGGATGTTTGAAGCAGGCTGCCCATGCTCTCATCCTCTTCCTCTCCCCGGGGGCACCATTTCCTCAGGGATTTCTTCCAGAACTGCAACTCCTTCCTGCTGAGTTGATTCCTGCTGATTCTCCCAACCTCCAACAATGTCCCCAAATTATCTTGGTCTTGTCCCTCAGCTTTTTGTCATTCCCTCCTAACCACATCTGAGGACTGCCCCACAAATATGGGGGCCAGTTGAGTCCTTCCCCCCGTGTTCCAGGATGGATATTAGTATATTTTTGTGCTGTTTCTTCCAGAAGATTTAAAAATTCAGTAGGCTATTCCCTGTGATCCTGCTTCATTGCAAAGAATTTTGACATGTTCATTGCTTTTGGCCTGGCATGTTTCATTGCAGACAACATCCACTGCAGGTATCTATTGAACCTTTCTCTAAAAATAGGGATGTTAGGATCCCATTCAGGATCTGCAGTGGGAAAGGGAATGTCCAATGTACCCTGGATATTCCCCACCAAAATCTGCTCTTCCAAAAACCTCTGACTGGTTTTAACAACCATTGCTTTCTCCCTACTACCAAACAACACTTCTAACATAGGATCCTTCTAGCCCGGATCCTGGCTTTGAATCATCATTTTGAAGGCTTTTGCCATTTAGTCTGGGTTCTATCACACAGGGGGGCCACTCCCAGCCCTCCTTGTTCAGCTCTAGTTCTTCCTGCAGCTGCACTGAAGCTCTCTGCTCTCTCTCTGACACATTCTCTCTCCTTTTCTTCTGGACATGCTAAAGCTGCCTCTTCACATGCCAGTTCCCCTGCAAGATTGGTTTCTGCATCTTGATTATCTGTTCCCCCACTCAACCTGCCCGTGGGGCCAACCAGAAGATCTGAGTCCTCCTCCTTATCGGGGAGACGATGAGAACAAAGTTCTCCTGTGCTCCACACTGAACAACAAGGCTTTAACCATTTCCCTTGATTTTCCTTTCTGGGCTCACACCAAGGGCTCTGAGGGCGCTGCATTCACACCACAATCCTTCTGCCATTTCACAGGTTCTGCAAAGTGAAAAACACATCAATGCACAGAACCTCCTTCCACTTCTGTTCCCCTTCTGAAACAGCACCAACTGTAACAATGGATTAGAATTCAATGTTCCAGAACAGCCACCCATTGATTACAACACTTCATTAAATTCTCCCTGGGAGCTGTTCCTCTGGGGGGGCCACCAAACTTCATCCAAAATTACAAAATGCAACCAAGTGGGGACTTCTTCACAATTCCCCCTTCAGACTGCCCACTCCCCATCTCTAAACAGTAGACCCAAAATGTTACAATACAGAAACAAATAAGAACACAACAATATTGATCGATAAAACAAAGCCAAATACCAAATTCCAAAATACCAAATAACCCACCCAAAGGGCTGGAAGATCCACAGGTCTCAGATGAGCAGGATTCCCAAAATACCAAAGAACCCACCCAGTGTGCTGAAAGATCCACATGTTTGACATGGGCAGGATTCCCAAAGAGAATGCCTTATTATCCAGTGGGATCTTACCTGTGTCCCAGACTGGGTTGGGGATCTGTGCTCTTCTGCAGCAAAGTCCTGGTGCTGGCGTGAAGATCCAGTGATCCCTCAGATCTGTGGGAGATCAGGCAGAGGTGTCCTGTCAGGGGGGCCAAAAATTACACCCAAAAGCAGCAGAAACAAACTTCTTCACCCCAATTTGGAGATGTTAAAAAGGGCATTCTTCTTTGTTCAGCATGCTGGACACTCAGAGGAGAGTTCCTCTAATCCAAGGTGCCAAATGACAGAAAGGGCTTTTTATGCACTCTTTACATGTGCATTTGATAGCCTTGCTTACTTAATACATATTCATTACTCTGCTTTACATAGTCACACCCCTATTGGAAGTCCTTTTCTGGTCCTTCCAGGCCTTCTCTGTCATCTGTGCTGCTCAGTTCTTGAGCAGCACAGCACCACTGTGCTTCTTTTATCTGGGTACACAGGGCTTAGTTTACATCCTGCTGGTTTGGGACATCCCTTATCTAATTCTCTAGGACTTCTCCAGGATTACATTGTTCCTCATTTGGGCACTCCGGGGTACTGGGAGTAGAGTTTCTATTTCTTCTATCAATGGTTTGATGGAGACCATGACGAGCTGGGAACTCGTTGCAGGGAAAAGAGGGAGCAGTTGGGAAGTAACAGGCAGGTGGGGGAGAGAACTGTTCAGAGAACAGCTGAGATACAGCTCGAGCAAGGTGAAAACTAAACTGTCATTTGGGGTCATCCCAGATCGATTGGATTTCAGAAATTACTCAACACAGGTGCCACCTCCTCCAGCCAAGCCCAGGAGATCAACCTCCTCAGCAGCTGCAAGAGATGTTCATGTGCCTGCTGCCATCTCCCCAAAGCCATTATCCCACTCCTGCTGAGAAGATGGGCAAGATGAGGATCTACCTCACAAGATCTGCTGCAGGAAGAAGAGTGTGTCCCAAAGGATGTCCTCAGCCTTCTCAGAGGGGACGTCAGATCCTCTCCAGGGATGGTCCCAGCCCTTCCCAATCCACACTGGGCACCAGCTCCAACTCTTCCCTCGAAAACAAACAACAAATTCATGACAAGAGATTACAAACAAAAAATGGAAACAAGAAAAAAAGGTAAAATGTTAACATTCTGTCAGGGTTCTGAGGAAGGCCCAACCCCTCCACACCAAAGAAAAACCCCACCTCCTCCAGCTCAGGAAAACCCAGGCCTTCTCCCTGCCCTGCTGCATTGCCCCAAAGAAAGGCTCCTAAGCCAAGGCAGCCCAAGCCTTTCCTGGCCTGCAGCCCAAAGCAGCTGGTGTTCTGCAGCCCCACCTTTGCTCCCCCCACGGGGGTTTGTTTTTGGCAGGCTGGCTGCCCCTGCCCCAGCCCCGCCCAGCAAAGGGGCAGTGGCAGAGGCTGGGGGCAGAGCCGGGCTCCCATTTCACACCCAGCCCAGAGCACCCGCCCACCCTCCTGCCAAGAAGCAGCTTGGCAGCCGGCTGAAGAATTCCTCGGGTTCCCCGCCAGCAAAGGGGGAACCTTCGGTGCCCAGCCAGGCTGAGCAATGCCCGGGAGCACCCCCTGGGTGTGGACTCATCTGCAAACGGCGTGTGGAGCACGGCTTGGAGGAAGGGGCCAGAATCAGAGTCCATCATCTTCAGCTCGCCGGTGTCCAGGTCAACAACAAAGAGCTTGTCATCCCTGACGTCGTCCTCGATGTCTCCAGCAGCAGCCCCACCCGGTACAGCTTCTCCAGAGGCCCCTTCTCCTTCCCTGGGGGCCAGACCAGGCTGTCAGTGTTCTGCCGAGGGCCCAGCTGTCTGTGAAGCAGGATGAGCAAAACCAGGTTGGATGGTGGCCACCAGCACTTGGAAGACTGGGTCTGCAGCCCAGCTCCAGCACAAAGAGGTGCATGTTCCCATGTGCTGACCCCCCCTCAGTGCTACAGGCATGACAAAAAAAGTCTGGTTTTCTTTACTTCTTATTGCCAAGAGATGTGTGGAGGTGTTACTTGCCAGGCCCCTGGATCAAAGTGAGCACGTGGATCTCTCCTGTCTTCTAGAGCAGGTGAATGCCCTGCACCCAAGGATGGCACAACAGGTCTTCCAATGATGGCCTGTCCGAGGGGCGGATGGACAAACACCACCTGATAAGGTGCTGGCACCCTGGGGGGAAAATCGCCGGTCAGTTGGAGAAGGATCCTGTCCCCTTTGTCCCACTGTCCACGTGCCCAGGCTGTGCTGGCTGTGCTCAGAGCTGTGCCCAAACTTCTCCACTGATTCTCCCTTTTGGAGGAGAGCAGGATGGCAGGACACAGGCCACCTCCCCCAGCCAACCATGGGACACAAACAGCTTCAAGAGCGGCGTCCTCGTGAGCCCGCTGCCCTCTCCCAACACCGTTATTCCCCCCGTGCCACAAAGATTGGTATCCACCTCGAGAGACCCGTGGTGGGAACGGGAGCTGGTCCCAGATGGTGTTGGTGCCTCTGCAGAACGGGTGCTTCCCGCAGACCATCTGGTAGAGCAGGATGCCCAGGGACCAGATCGTGGCCGCCTCGCCGCGGTAGCGTTTGAAGCAGATCCACTCTGGCGGGCTGTATGACGGTGTTCCTGCGGAATACAGACGGAGTTCATCAGGTGGATGCTGCCTGCTCCCAGAGCCTCACCCCAGCATCCCTGGCAACGTGGGGCCTGCCCCAGTGGCACACGCTGTGACCCACTGCCTTCTCACCGGCCCCTGACTCTTGGTTACAAACTTGGGGTTGGAGAAGAAGCCACTGGTGTCCAAGAGGGCAGCAGAAGCCCTGGCAAGGCCCAACTATTACATGCAAGGGAAAAACCCAGCCAGTGGTGGGGAAAAGCCATGCCTTCTCCCCGCCCCACTGCACTGCCCCCAACAAGTCATCATAAGCCAAGGCAAACAAGGGGAGCGGAGCAGCCCAAGCCCCTCCTCGCCTGCACACCAAGCCAGCTGGTGCACAGTTCTGACCCCCTTCTCTGCTACCCTCACGGGGGTTTTGGTCAGGCTGGCTCCGCCCTGCCCCACACCCAGCCCAGGACAGGGTGGGTGGCACAGGCTGTCGGCAAGGCCAGGGCCCGTCTCACAATAACCCCCCAGCCCCATCCAAAAGCAACTTGGCTGAAGAACTAATCCTGTTCCCCCTCAGCCAAAGGGGCAATCTCTGGTGCCACACCCGGGCATGGCCATGCGATGCCTGGCACCAGGAGCATCCCCCGGCTGTGGGCTCACCTGCAAACTGGGTGTAGACGGTGTCCTGAAGGAAGGTGGCACATCCAAAGTCAAGGAGCTTCGCCTCTCCGGTGGCCAGGTCGAGGAGGATGTTCTGGGGCTTGATGTCCCGGTGCAGGACGCCGCAGCTGGTGCAGTGCCGCACGGCCTTCAGCACCTGGCGGAACAGCCCCCACGCCATCTCCTCCGGCAGGAACCTCCACGCCGTGATTACGCGAGAGAGGTCCCGAGAGCGCTCCGGACGCTCCATCACCAACAAGAAACTGTTGGGGAGCTCGAACCACTCCAGGAGCTGGATGACACCACGAAACCCACTGGACACCTTGTCCAGCAGCACGATCTCCAGGGGGGCCAGGGTGCCGTCGGGCTGCGGGGGGACCACGGGGTCGTCAGTGGGGCTGATGCCGTGCCTGTCTGCCTGCTACCCCTCTGCCAGCCCTGGATGCTCCCCGTCCCCCACCCACCCCACGGCCACTCTCCCTCCAGGTGTCCCGGCGGCTTCCACCCTCCCGGGCTCGGCTCGTCCCCGCCCGTCCCGCCCCGCTTTCTCCCGCTGGCCCCGCTCGCTCACCAGCTCGCCCCAGCGCCGGATGAGATCCCGGGGCACGGCTTTGATGGCCACCTGCAAGCCAAGGGGAACGGCGGGTTGAGCTCGCCCGTCCCGCTCTCCTCCTCCTCCTCCTCCTCCTCCTCCTGCACTCACCGGGGCTCCGTCCGCCAGGCGGGTCCCCGCGTAGACGCGGCCGAAGCCGCCGCTGCCCAGCAGCGAACCCAGCCGGTAGCGCTTCTGCAGGGGCCCCTTCGCCTTCCGTGCGGGCGAGACGTGGCCGTCAGCGTTCGGGCCGGGGCCCGGCACGGCCCCCGAGCGCCCCTCGAGCGGCCCGGGCCGGGCTTCCCCACCCGCAGCGGGCAGCGGCGGCTCGCTGCCGGCGGCCGGGCTGGCGAGCGGCGGAGCTCTGGTCGGGGAAGCCGCCGAGGAGGCGGCAGCGGCCGCGGCCCCCGCCGGCCCCGGCAGGCGCCGGGCTCGAGCCGGGCGGAGCCAAGCGGCGGCGACGCCGAGCCCGCCCCACAGCCCATCCCACAGCCCATCCCACAGCCCATCCCACAGCCCATCCCACAGCCCATCCCACAGCCCATCCCACAGCCCGCCCCACAGCCCGCCCCACAGCACAACCAGCCCCACAGCCCCACAGCCCATCCCACAGCCCGCCCCACAGCCCGCCCCACAGCCCGCCCCACAGCCCATCCCACAGCCCATCCCACAGCCCGCCCCACAGCCCATCCCACAGCCCATCCCACAGCCCGCCCCACAGCCCATCCCACAGCCCATCCCACAGCCCGCCCCACAGCCCATCCCACAGCCCATCCCACAGCCCATCCCACAGCCCGCCCCACAGGAGCGCCCAGCAGCGCCACAGCCGGCGCGCCGGGAGCCGGGCGAGGGCGGGACCGCGCCGGGCCGCCCAGGGCCGGGGACGGGGCGGCCCCGCCCGGCAGAGGGGAACGGCCGGGGCCATGGCCCGGGCCGGCAAGGGGAGGGGGGACCGGGAACGGGACAAGGACACCGGGACAGGGACACCGGGACAGGGACACCAGGACAGGGACACCGGGACAGGGACACCGGGACAGGGACACCGGGAGACGGAGAGGAGGAAGAGCAAGAGCAGGAGAAAGACCGAGAGCGCGTCGCTAGAGTCGCTGCTGCTGCTGCCGCTGCTGCTGCCGAAGCGCCGGGGCCGTTGGTCCGTTCGTCGGTTCGTCCGTTTGTCCATTTTTCCGTTCCCTGTTTGGCCCCCGCGCGCCCCGGGGGCAGCCCCGGCTGCAGTCACGGAGCTCCCCTTCCTCCCGCACCCATGCCGAGACCACGGGCTTTTTTAGCTGCTTCACTTTATTTTGACTTCTTTGCTGGCAATCTTGCAACTTCCCGCCGCTGCTCGGACCCCATCCCGCCCGCTCGGCCCGCGCTGCTGTCGCTTCCTCCCGGGCCAGCCGGGGTCTGGACTTGTCCCTGAAGTTTGGGAAGGGGTTTGCTCAGTGAGGAGCCCCGGGACGTCCGGCCAGCGCCAGGCAGAGCCAGCCCCGGGGAGGGCAGAGCAGGACGATCGGCAGGGGAAATGCAGCCCTTTGGGGTCAGCGCTGCTCCCCGACCACCCCAGGGCTGTTCCTGTTTTCCTGCCCGCTTCGAGGGGAAATTGGCGACTGCAGAGAGGATTAAAAAGAAGAGAATTAGAAGACTCTTCTTGCTGCCATTTGGATGCCAGTCCATGCTAATAAATGCAGGCTTAATTTGGAATGGACACGATGTAGCAGCTTTTTCAGCACCCAATATTTAACAGCTCCCTTTCAGGGGACAGTGGAAAAAGGGGGGGAGAACGGGGGAAAAGGGGGGGCTGGGACCTCCAAACTGAGCAGGGAAGGGGCTGAGACTCTGAAACCGAGCAGGGCAGAGGGGAAGAAACAGCCCCAAACCGAGCCGGGGGGGGAGCTGAGGACTGTGGGGATGATGAGAAAGGGGTGGGAGAGGGGAGAAAAGGGGTGTTGGACAGTGGGCAGGGGGACAGAGGGAGGGGGGTTCCCATATGGGTCCCCCCTGTCCCCCATCAGTTGGGCCCTGGAGCGGTTCCCTGGGGCTCTGGGAGGGGGCAGATCCGCACTGGGAATGTCCACTGCTTCTGTAACCCTTTCTGTGCTTGCTCTGGTCACGATTCTCCACAGGTCCCCAACGCTGGGGGCTGATGGGGGGACTCCCCCCACCCAGCAGCTGGTGCTGCAGCAGCTGTGGGGCAGAGGGGGGTGGGAAAGGGGGGTCCGGGGTGGCCCCCTGAGCTCCCAACCTGCTGTGGGGACAGAGGGCTGCTGGGGGAGCACCCCCTGACCCGTGTCCCTGCACACACAGGGCTGTTCCAGTTCCTGGGAAATTAGCTCATACATATTCGTTGCACATTTTTACATCTTCCCGAGCTACCCCAGAGTGGGCGGTGTTCCATGGAAATCTCGGGACGCGCCTTCTGGCGCCTGCGCACTTCTCTCTGGTGCTGCTCTCGGGTGGTCGCAGGGGATGAAGGCTCAAAGTCTTCCTCTCCCGCTCGCCCGGTGCCTGGGCGTGGCATCGGGCGAGCGGGGGGCGAGACCGCCCGCGGATTGACTGTGGGGGTCTCTCTGGAGGCGGGGAGCGCACAGAGCGCCATGTCGGCTGTGGGGAAGTGATGGAGGAGGCGGCGGCGGGTGCACTGCACTGTGAGTGGAAAGGCTGGAGGGCTCGGGAGGGTTTAGCGGAGGGGTTCGGGGGTTCCCGAGGGGCAGAGCGCGGGGCCCTGGAGCCCTCTTGGGGGCTGCGGGGCTCGGGGGCTTTTCCAACGCCCTGGCTGCACTGCGCAGGCGCGCCGGCGGAGAGCTCATAAAAGAACTACAACTCCCATGAAGCCCCGCGTCACGTGCTGGACCCGCCATTTCTGTTCGGGCCACAGCGCCCCTGCCGGCCCGGCGGACCGACCTCAGGGAAAGGGGATCCTGATGCCCGCCCTGAACCCCAGAGACCGCAAAACTCAGCACACAGAGATCCTACAGGGAGGGTTCAGCAGTGGGGTTCAGGGGGTCACCCAGCCCCCAGGGGAGGGGGCCTGGTGGTGCCCCCCAAAGTCCAGGGACGAGATGTACCACATCCGGGTAAGGGGATCCCAATGTCCCCAGTACGGCCCAGTAACCCCCTCAGTGACCACCCAGTGCATCCCAGTGACCTCCCACTGCCTCCCAGTGTGGCCCAATGATCCTCCAGTGAGCACCCAGTAACCCCCGGTGTGGCCCAGTAACCTCCCAGTGTCCCCTCGTGTGTCCTGGTAATCCCCCAAGAACTCCTCAGTCATCTGCCAGTGCCCCCCAGTGTGCCCTAGTTCTCCCCCAGTCCCTCCCAGTGCCCTCCCAGCGCCTCTCAGTAACCCCCCAGTCCTTCCCAGTGCCCCCTGGTTCCCCCCAGTGTGTCCCAGTATCCCCCAGTAATCCCCCAGTGCCCTGCAAAGCCCCCCAACTGTCCCCAACGTGTCCCCAGATGCCCTTGGCCTTTCTGTGAGCGTGGGGGGAAGGAGGGGTGTTTTTGTGGTCAGAGGGTCCAGGGGGGTCTCCTGGGGTGAGATGGAGGGTTGGGGACATCAGGGATGGGGTTTGGGGACATTGGGGAGGGGTTTGGGGACAGTGGAATTGGGGGTGTCAAGGGGGGATTGGGGCCATGGGGAGGCCCTGGGGACATTGGAGACACCAGGGGGGTCTCGGGGTGTCAAGGGGGGGGTGGGGACACCAAGATGGTCTTGGGGACACCAGGAGGGTCTCAGGACTCACCTGCTCGTGGTGCTGCCCCTCCTCTCCCCCCCAGCCCCATTAACCCCCCCTTCCCCAGGTGGTTCCTTTGCCCATGGGCAGCAAAGCCCCCACTGCTTCTGCAACTGGAGAGTGTTGGAGCCGTGGACCATTAACATTCCAGTCTCTCCCAGCTCTGCATCCCAAAAGTCAAGAGGGATCAGTCTGTCACCTCAAAGTGAATCAATCCCATTGAAAATGGCTCGATCCCATTCCAAAACCTCTGTGTTTCTTATTTTCCCTATGTAATTCTGAGGCAGCTGGTGCCACTCCTCAGCTCTCAGCAGGCTGAGGCTTGGCCTTGCACTTTTGCCTTTGCTGGATTTCTTCATCAAATATTTCTCTCTCCCTGAAAAGAAACATATGGAAGGTTTTCAATAATCTGGACATCTTTAGACCATCTGGACAAATGACAGTTTGCAGTGTTGGAACAGCTCAGCCACAACGTTTTCCATGTTTAACCATTTATTCCCATCCCTCCCAGGAGGGAGGACACTGAACTCTTCCACAGAAACAGAAAACTAGTAACAAAAATTCAGAGACTACTGAAAACGAAAAATACCTTTTGCTCACAGGTGGCCCTTTCACGTCCTTCTCTTCTGCCTTCCTGCAGTCCACGTTATCCACGGCAGCAGTTGCCTAGATCATGGCCCAAAAAAGCTTTTTAAGTCATTTAGAATCATTCCAGAAAACTGAATCACAGCTGGGGGGTGGGAGACCAAACAGGTGTTCAGGCTGGAGAGCCAGAGGCAGCTCCCCAGAGAGAGGCCTCAGAGATAGGGATGGAATCCATCAGACGGCCTTGGGCACTCTGTGAGAGGGAGAGAAGGAGCTGCAACTTCAGGGGAAGGACACCTGTGGTGAACACCTGCTACCAAAGTTAAAAATGAGAAGGAAGAGACTGCTTTAGTTCACCCCACTTATGAAATAGGAATTAATTTATAATTAAGAATGACAGTGTGTTGTTAGAAAAATTTGACTAGTGTGGATAAGTTAGAAAAAGTGTGTGACAGTGTGTTAAATAGGTCCATGCGTGCCTCCTTCCCTGTAGCCTAGAAATTCCTGCGCTGGGTGGGATAAAAAAGCTTTACTGTAAACATTGCATGCCTTTTCTGCCGTTTTGGGGTGGACGAGGAGGACGGAAGAATAAAACTTCTATTTTTAGTGACACAGTCAGATTGTCTTTATTAACAGCCAAGAATAGTAAAAGAGTTTAAAACTGTGTCAGGAGAGATTTTAGGCATCAGCAGGTCTCCACAATTCCTTTAGTTCCATGAGGCTCTGCAGTGTCACAACTGGCCCTTGACTCCATGAGGTTAAAAAAAGTCCCAGGGTTCCTTTGGCTTCATGAGGCCCTGGAGTGTCAAAATGGCCTCTTGATTCCTTCAGGTTCCACAGTGTCCCAGGATTCATTTTTTCCATGAGGCCATGGACTTTTACTCTGGAGCCCTGATTCCCTGCAGCCATGCTGTGTCACAATGGCCCCTTGGTTCCATGAGATCCTACAGTGTCCCAGGGTTCCTTCTGGAGCATGAGACCCTGCAGTGTCACAGGTGCCCCTTGATTCCATGATATTCCACAGGGTTCCTCTGATTCCATGAGGCCCCACATGTCACAATGGCCCCTTGATTCCAGGAGGTTCCACAGTGTCCCAAGGGTCCCTTGAGCTCCGTGGGGCTCTTTGACATCCCGTGACCTCCCGGCTCTTTAGGAGCCCTGAGAACTTCAACAGGGGGAAGTGCCGGATTCTGCCCTGGGATGGGGCAACCCCGCCTGGACGGACAGACTGGGAAGGAGAGGCTGGAAAGCAGGGCCGGGAAAGGGCCCTGGGGGTGCTGGTGGGTGGCCAGTTGGCCCTGAGTCAGCAGTGCCCTGGCAGCCAGGAGGGCCAAGCCTGTCCTGGGGGCATCAGGCCCAGCATGGCCGGCCGGGCCAGGGAGGGGATTGTCCCGCTCTGCTCTGCCCTGGGGCGGCCTCACCTGCACCATTGGGGCAGTTTGGGGGGACACAATGGAAGGGAGAGATTGAGCCATTGGAGAGTGTCCAAAGGAGGGCAAGGAAGATGGGGAAGGGCCTTGGGGGGAAGGCGTGTGAGGACACTGAGGGCACTTGGTGTGTTCAGCTGGAGAAGAGGAGACTGAGGGGAGACCTCACTGCAGGTCCAACTTCCTGGGGAGGGACAGAGGAGGGGCAGGCCCTGAGCTCTGCTCTGGGGGGACCAGGGACAGGACTGACGGAATGGCCTGAAGTTGTGTCAGGGGAGGGTCAGGTTGGATCTTAGAAAAAGATTCTTCCCCCAGAGGGTGGTTGGGCACTGACCAGGCTCCCCAGGGCAGTGGGCACAGCACCAAGGCTGACAGAGCTCAAGAAGTGTTTGGATGATCCTCTCAGGATCATGGTGTGATTCTTGGGGATGATCCTGTGCAGGGTAAGGGTTGGACTGGATGATTCTTGTGGGTCCCTTCCGACTCAGCCTATTCTGTCATTCTGGGATTATCAACCCTGTGTTCAGCACAAACCAAAACACAGCCCTGCACCAGCCACGGGGAAGAAATTTAACTGTACTCCCCCTGAAACCAGCAGACACTTTAGGGGCTCTCCCAGAAACATCCCCCAGTCCATTTGCTACCTGTAACCAGTGACTCTGAGTTCCTGCTTCCCCAGCCCCAGGGATGGTCTCTTTGCTCATTCCTCCACACTCTATTTTCAGTGTTGGCATCTTAACGAGACAAGCCCCTTGGAGATAATTTCCTTGTAAGTCTTCATTTCTTTTGTGGTTAATTAGGTCTCAGAATCTCTGAAGTACATTCAAAATGAATATATTGTATTAAAGAAGAAATGAGAAAATACTTCCTTTTTTGTGGCCTGTTTACTTTTTTCCTGTTTATACACTGATATGAGCAATCTCCATTTGATATTGATCCCAGGCATGTCCCAATTCAGCCTGAATAGATAAGAAAATCAAGAGCCTTTATGTCTGACAATCCATCAGACTTTATCCCTATCCCCACCCCACCAGTCCCTCATCAAAGCCCTGGCACTCAAAGCAGCCTTGGGCAAATCTGAGCTCCCTCCACTCAAGGCTGGACCTGCAGGTTTCAGCTCCTTGGCACCAACTCCCACCTGCTTGGCTTGGAGAAAGAGCTGCCCGAGACACAGAGGGATGTTCATTTATTGCCAGCAAACAAAACCAGAGGAAGGCACAGCTCAAGAAAAACCAGAAGTCTTTCCCATGCTGTATATTAAGTCCACATTGCCTCCACTGAATTCCACTTTGCACACTAGATAGTCTTAGACCAATGGCAAACACCTTCTGTGTCAAGCACAGATCCCCAGATCCCCCAAACACTCCCTGCTCCGAATTCTGTCCATATTTGCCCTTTGCACACAGTGAGTCACACACTGAAGTCACAAGTTCCCTGATCCACAGAGGGAGGAAAAGAGAAAATGAATGAATTTCTGGGTTGTACAGAGTTAAATCTCCATTTATTCAAATATTCTGGGGCTACAGAAACATTATCAAACATCCTCTGTAGTATCTGTTCAGTGGGGAAATGTGTGTGGATGGCCAGGCCCAAGGAGTGGTCGGATCTACCTGAGACACTTCCATCTGGTCAGTCCCATCCCCCTGTCCATTGTTGGGTGTCACTCAGGAGCCCAACTCTTGGCTCCCTGTGCATCTCCAGGATGGACTTTCACAGCCAACCTCTCGACCCGGGGGGCAGGAGGGCCTGCCCTGAGAAGGCCTAAAATGCCATCAGACAATGCCAACAGTGCCAGCTCTCATGCAAGCTGTCTGTGAGATCTGCCAGTTACCGGTGGCACCCTGGGAATGGTTTTGGTGTTGGATGATGCTCAAACCAGCCTGGTTCACCCAACTCCAAACACACCTCCTGCTTTTGGAAGTTGGATGGGACAGAGAAGCTGCTCACTGGCCTGTCCATTTGTGAGGAGCAGTCAATCCCTTCCTACTAGAGAAGTCCAGTCCCCTTTCATCCAGGCAGGTTCTTCTAACACAGCCCTTCTTGGGGTAGATGTGTGGAGATTCCTGCCTTGGGTGGGGACGCCCTCCAAGGACACTCCTCAAGGCTGAGCAAAAGAAATCTCCCCACGACCATTGGTCTGGGTGAGTTCCATCAGATCTCTACGTAATAATTGTTTCTTTTTGCTGGTTTTAATATCATTGTTTCAATAATTGCTTCAATACAGTGCAATATGCTATCCTATACTGTACTACTAGTAGTTTTAGCCTTTATACTGTGTAGTAAATAATTCTGATTAAGATCTTTCGTCTGATCATTTGTACGAATAAAGGATTCATTTTATAGAAATATTCTCATTTGGCCAATCATTAAAACCTGTGGGACAAAAGTGGTTCAATCCTTCTGTAATTCCTTAAATTTAATTTGTTGACAAAATCTGAGGCAAAGATTGGATCCCTTATTCCTTGAGGCTCCACAGTGGGACAATGACTCCTTGATTCCATGAGGTTGCACTGTTTCCCAGCGTTCTTTGGCTCCAGAAGGCCCTGCAGTGTGACAATGGCCCACTGATTCCATCATTTTCCCCAGGGTCACAATGGACCCTTCATTCCATGAGGTTTCCCAGTGTCACAATGGACCGTTGATTCCATGAGATTCCACAATGTCCCATTGGTTCCCTTTGGTTCCAAAAGGTTCTGGGATGTCACACTGGCCCCTTGATTCCCTGACAAAGTCCTGGTGTCCTTTTGATTCCATGAGGTTCCGCAGTGTCCCATGTTCCCTTTGGTTCCAGGAGGCCCCAGTGGATTCCAATGGCCCCTGGATTCCAGGAGATTCCACAGTGTCCTGGGGTTCCCTTGTCTCCCTGACTTTTGGCAGTGTCCAGGGTCCCTTTGTTCCCAGGAGGTTCCTTTGTTTCCATCAGGCCCTGCCATGTCCCAGACTCCCTTTGGTTCCATGAGGTGCTGCAGGGTCACAATGTCCCCTTTATTCCATGAGGTTCCACCATGTCCCACGGTTCCTTTGGTTCCATGGGATTCCACAGGGCCAAAACTCCCTACTTCTTATCCTTCCAACATTTCTGGGCCCATTCTATCCCTGCCTGGGATGGAGCCCCATTGTGTTTCTGCAGGAATGGATCCATGGCCATCCTGCCACTGCCCCAATTGAATGCTGCACAAACGTCACTGCAGGCCCGACCCTGGATGCAGGAACAGTCTGGGAACTCCAGGCCTGCTGACATTCAGCAGAGCCAGTCGGGGTCCCAAAGAGCACAAGTGATTGACTGCAACCCCTGCAGGTCTCTGGCATTGCTGGGGACAAAGGCAGGAACTGCCAGGAGCTCTGCAGAGCCCTGACAGTGCCACTGCAATCCCAAGCTGCATTGCCCGGGGCAACCCTCAGCACAGCCAAGGCCACAACCCTTCCTGAAAGGTGTCCCTTCTGGGCAGGGCCAGGGGGACAAACCCCTCCCTCTGTCCCTGCACATGTTGGGTCCAATTCTCAGCCCCCACTTAGGGACAAAGTCAGCCTACATTGGGTGTTTAGCTTTGCATTTGCTTCACTCTTTTGTGTTTCCAACACACACACCAGTCTGGGCAGAGTCTGGCCCCCCAAAGAACACAAGACCTGACTAGTTGTGGCTCCCGCTGCAGTGGCTGGAACTTGGGCCACAATCTGTGCCAGGAGCAGAGAGGTCCCTCCCCACAGAAACTTCTTGGCAATGGAGTTCTTAAGGAAAGGGGACAGGCTGTGGGGATCACTTGCAGGGCACAGCCAGGGACGTGTCTTGACCAGCCTCCTGTTTAACAGGACCAGCTTTTTCAGCCTCTTTTCTCTCTCTTTTCTCATGCTTGGTCCTCCAGTGACCATTGTGATCCTACCCTTGCTTTGGTTCTTCCCTAGACATCCCATGACAAGTCTTATCCACTCTCCAAATCCCCTTTCTGGCTGCCCATCATGAGTCTCAGAGCCCGAGGTCGAATCCCCCATCCTCAGCTGCAAGGGCACCCTGAGAGGTTCTGCCATTGACCCACTTGGTTACAGTTTCCTACAGATACCTTGGAACTTCCTTGTTACCTTTTGGGGTTAGAATGGCTTCTTCAAAAATATGGTAATTCATGTCCTAACAATGGAAATTCTTTGGAGAAGGAGTTTGAGACTTTACACTCCAAGAATGACAGAA